ACTGTGTATGTATATATATATATATATATATATATATACTCAATGTATATAGTTACTAGAATTAAATTATATTAGCATATGTGCACATACTTTATGAGCACAGTACACATGACATGCAGGGGAAAAAAAGCCGTTCATTTATAGATTATGAGATTATTATTATTATTAAAAAAACTATAAAGAAGGCAGAAATTAACATTGAAAAAAACGGGACTTTATGAATTTATAAATGTGCACTGCAGTATAAACTAAATAGAAATTTACTTTAGTTTCTATTTTCACATTGAATGGTTTTCACATATAAACACATGCATAGAGAGTGTTTTACATGGTAAACGGAAGCTCGAATGTTTGCCGCATGCGTGCATCGGCATCGCATGCTAGAAAACAGACCTCACTGGTTCTCTTCATCATGCATGCGCGTTTGAGATTACGTGCTTACCATTTGTGATGTGCTGAATTTATGTGTGTTGATCATTGTTTAGATGTAAATAAAAGCCTAATTTAATCATATCTACTTATAGGGCTGCACGAATATGACAAAAATCATAATTGTCAATTATTCCCTTGAAATTGTAATTGTGATTATTAATTACAACGATCACAATTTACATTGAATTATGTTTTGAATAGCTTTATACCATTGTTTGAAGCAACTGCATGCCATATTTTTATATGAAAATAAACAAGCGTAAAACTCTTCTTGAAAAACTTTTATTGCTTATCTATAGCATTAAGCATCAAATGTCAACTATACATTGGTTTGGTTTCTTCTTAAAAAAAACACTAAAAACATGCATGGTCTTATGTTATACTAAAACTAAAATTAAAACAATGAAAAAAAAAAACCTTAAGATAACCTGTAGAAAGAAAAAAAAAACATGCATTCAACTGTTAGTGGACTTTTTTATTTATTTATTTGTTTTTATTTTTTTTGTAATTGCTCCTTTGAATGATTACGTAATTGTGGCATCCATAATTGTAATCACGATTGAAAATTCGATTAATTGTGCAGCCCTATATACTTATGTAATTTGGATTAAGCTGCTCGATTCATATGGATTCATTTTACAATGCCTTTATGACCTTTTTGGACGTTTTTGGTTACCTAGACTTTAAGTGGAGGGACAGAAACCTCTCAGGATCCATTTAAATGTACTTTAAATTTGCATTTCAAAGATTAAACAAAGTCTTGTGGGTTTGGAATGACATTAGGGTGAGTAAATGTTTACAGAATTTTTTGGGTAAACTAAACCTTTGCCAAACTTTCCCTTTTGGTATCTTCATTTTTAAATCCCCATATAGTTCAGTCCCTGAAATTCGGGGATCTCAATGTGGCTCCTTGTGCAAGTTGTTGAATTTTACCCATTTTCAATAGTCAAAAACCAAATGTGGGTCACTTTTGGTCTTCGCTGGCTCTGTTGTGTTCATTGCTGGATGCAGGTCCACCGTCTGGATATAGGCCAGATATGGCTGACTACGGTAACCTCGTGATAAATGTTAGACAGATAGCCTAATATAAGCATTGATGCCATTTTTCTTACGATGTAGCTAGTACATTGGGCATTATGGGATGTGTTCCCAGTTCTGGTTGCCCCAATTAATGCAGCCTGGATATGAAAGACTGTAATGCGTTAGGAGCTCACTCAAGTACTGAGGGGCTAAACCATTCAGGACTAAGTAATCAGCAAGACATATGATGTTTAATTGGGAGCCGATGCAGTGCTGACAGAACCGGATCATACTTCCTGGTTCTAATAAGAACTCTAGCTGCTGCATTTTGGACCAGCTGGAGTTTGTTTTTTAAGCCTGCAGGGCAACCACCCAGTAATGCATTGTAATAATCTAGCCTTGAGGTCATAAATGCATGAATTAACATTTCTGCATTTGACATTGAGAGCATATGTCATCAAGTGGCCAAACAACCGAGATGGTCCTCACTGCAGAACACAAGATCCAGGGGGCGAGGTTGGATCCAACTCCTCCCACCTTACATATACCTAAACCTACCCGTCTCCACCCCCTGATCCCTAAACCCACCCATCTCCACCCCTAAACCTACCATCTCCACCCCCTAGATGTGGATCC